GATAGGACCAGTAGTGGATAATAATAGGGATGGGATATTGAATTTACCTAAATTCTGAATGCAGAACTGAATCAGCTTGTTTTAAATTGATTCTATAGTTCCATCAGTTGAAATAGGATCCAGGTAAAGAACCAAATCAAAAAAATGAACAGATTTTATGAATAAATTGTCATTACTAATCCCAGGCTCCCTGCAAAAAATTGCTATAACCTTTCACCTTTGTTCAAGGACTCAGGGGAGGAAGATAAACGAGTCTATAGTGAAATTATTACCGTATTTATCGGCGTATAACACGCACAGGCGTATAACACGCACCTTCATTTTAAGAGGGAAATTTCAGGAAAAAAACTTAAAGGTGGGGCCGGGCGGCGGAGCGCTTATATCAGCGTATAACACGCACACATCATTTGCCCCCTATTTTCAGGGGGGAAAAGTGCGTGTTATACGCCAATAAATACGGTATTTCTAGGCCATATAACAGCTTAGGTAATTCAACTCCTGTCATTTTTTACCTTCATCATTCAGTTTTCTATGAAGGAAGGTATTGCAAATCATAATTCCTATTTTTCCTCTTCCTGAAGAAAAACATTCCTTGCAAGACGAATTGGAAGCCAGGACTTAACTGTTTCATCCTATGTAGGCTGCCAGTGTTCATGTCGGATAAAGCCCAGATTACTGTCTCTCTGCTTTGTCCTGCAGGGATAAAATTGCTTATGTAGAACAACACAGGGAGCCAGGTCTCACTAATGTGTCCTACATGGAACTGGTTAAACTACCTCATGTCTTCCTCCGTTGGGTAAAACCCAGGACAACTGAAGGACCACAACTCTTGCAGATGGTCCGACCTTAACAGTGGAAATGGAGTAGGAAATGGCCATAATTTTACAACTTTCTTACCCAATTTGAATGTTTTTGTTTGTATCAATACCATATAGAGCAGAGCCTGCACAACTTATAGAAGTGAAAGGGCCACAATAAATTAAAAATAATTGTGGGCCACAAAAGAATAGTTTGCATGCCAATCAACTTTTTGGCAAATATCTCATGTGCATATCTTTCGCTTCTGCTGATATTACCTCCCAATTACACTATGTTCTGTCCAATTTACTTTATCAGTCTGTATTCTGAGTATTAAAAAGTTATTTTTTCTTTACTTACTGCAACACAAATGTTTATCTTACTTGGATACTTAAAAACCATTTTACTGTGGATTTTTAACAACAACAAAAAAAGCAATGTGATAATATCACAGTTTCCCTAATACATTTCTTAGCTATTTAGCTTGTTTTTTGCTTCATATATTTTCAACCTTAATATCAGGTTGGAAAATGGGCAACTGCGTCAGAAGGAATAGTGAAATAATAATTCTATGTATTAAAAGGTTAATACTGACAGAAGAGGAGAACAAATATTCATTGTTACAATTTGTAATTCTGATGCCAAATTTATCTCGTTGGCAGAAGCTTTTAAGATCATTAAAAGATTTTTAAAAGTAATATCTCTTTGTGTTCATACAGATTTCCTATGACAGCTAAAAATTAAATTGGAGAACTAAAGATAATCTGTGCTTATGCGTGTTCTCTTGTCTCACGCTTTAACAAAATAATCATGATTTTGAAATTCATTTAAACCAAAATTGTTTCTTTGTTAGTCCAAATATAGTAGCAATTTGAGGTTTATCATTTATTTCATGCAACAATTCTTCCTTTGCATAATCAAGAATGTTAAATTGAACATTCTTGTTTATGCAAAGAAAGGATGTATTGCATGAACATATTCAGTAGATATCCAGGAAGATTACATCTAAATGCAACTTGTCTCATAAAGGTTAATAAATTATTCTGCTTGTTTAGGTTTATTGCTTCATATTCTTTGCAGAAAATGGCCAGTAATTGCCATCTCATTAAAATTATTACCTAACTCCCACATGGTAGCGTTGCGGAATGTTATTGTATGCATGAAAACAACACCCTTTATTTTTGGTTATGGTTTAAATTAATAGGTTTGATTCATGATATGAATAACATATTTTTACCTGCTAAAAGTCATATTGTATTTATTACAAATTATTAAGTAAAACAAAATCAATGGAAATGAAGATGGTGAATTTCTAAGTGATATTAATAACAAAGTCATATGGCACTATACAAATTGCATGGTGTTGTCATAGACTCAAAAGGACTACAAGATTGATGACTTCGCTGATACTGTTTAACATGAACTAAAATGTTCTGTAGCTTTTGCTGTGAACTACTTATTCATGGAGCATTAGCTGTGGTACAAATGTCTTCATTTTATACCATACAAACATATTAATATTTGATCCAAGACATTTTTTGTCTGATGTAAAAACTCCAAATGATATCTGTCATAGAATTCTTTATTAGCCAAGTGTGGTTGGACACACAAGGAATTTGTTTCCAGTGCATAAGCTCTCACTATACATACAAGTAATAGTGATAATCATGATCATATACAACATGAAAATACATTCATCATAAATCATGAAATACAGCACTTCATCATAAATCATGATGCAACACTTAGTATAGTCATAGAGTACTAGCTAAGCAAACAACATAAATCATACTAGTGTACAAAAAACAATATAAATTGTAGGATACAAGCAACAAAGTTATAGTCATAAGAAGATAAGGATAGGTAATAGGAAAGATGAGGAGTATCATTGTAATACAGCTTTACTAAGTATTTTGACAGTGTTGTAGGAATTAGTTGTTAAGCAGAATTGTTAAATGGTATCTGTCATGTTTAAATGGCAATCTGATTCAAGGCTAGTGTATTTTTTTAGAGGAATAGGAAAAAGTTAAGTGTTGTGTTACAGTATGATCTTTTCTACTTATGTTGTTTAAGCATTACTGCCTCTGATATTTATGTTTTCTGTAAATTGTGTTTTCATACAATTTGGAACCACTTCGCAGCAGAGTCCCTATAAATTAGGAGCAGACCAAAATCATCCTTTGCCTGCCCAAAGTCTTCTATTATATTTTATAGTTTTCTATGGAAGGTCCTTTTAAGGTGCATTCTGTAGTTAGAACAACTCTACAGTATATTTTTATTGATTTTGCCACTGAATATTTAAATGACTGCTGAAACCCAAAAAGGGATTTTGTTACATTTTATTTTTACTTTTTTTAGAAATAAAGCTTGATTCTATTTATACCTTGAGAGATTCATTTGTCTTCTAAAGGAGTAGGCTAATTTCCTTTGCCATATGTTTCAATGAATAAGGTTAGGAGGCAGTGCTATAGAATTTATTTCTCCTTTTTTTCAATTTGACTTCATTTTTGTCATTTACTTGTATACAGTAGGTGCTATGTGATTTCTGTGAGGATTGGGGGGAGGATGACAGGTAAAAGCACCTGCCTGCCCACCCAGAAATAGATAGTGGAGGTAAGAACTACCAAACCACTTCATTAAGTCAGGAGGCAGAAATAGAGCATGCAGAACCCAAGGACTCCTGCAAGGGGAGTTTTGAGATTTTTACCCTATGGGTTCAACTACAATTGTGAATAATGCTATGATTCCAATACAATGGTTCCATAATGCCTATTCAACATGGGCATTGTGAGTTAATGTCACAAAGATTCTGAACCTTTAAAATCCTTGTCTATAAAGGCTAAAGGAAGAACTTTCCATCCCTTAATACTTTGTACCTAAATGCATTAAATCTGCTTACTGAGTAGGTTCATTGCAGTTGGTAGGTGGGGCAGATATGATATCTGATAGACCTAAAGTCTTACTTATCTATTTTGTTACTTTAAAAATGTTGAAATGTTGTATATGGATGACCTTGTAAAGACTGAATTTCAGAATATCCATGCTGGTCCATAACAGTTTCCTCCACATTGGTGTTCTGACAGGAGCACATTATCTAGCATATTGTTTAACCTATGGATCAAATTTTAGATAAAGAAAAAACAAATCACCACTCAATTTCTGGCTGATAGTGTTACTATATTTCTAGAAATAACTGGGATATAGTTTCACATTTTAAAACTTGGCTAGTATGTAATGTTTGTCGTTGAGTTATATTTAAAAACATTAGCTTCTTCAGAAGAATGGCAGTAGTTTTTAAAGATCATAGACAGAAATTGAAGTGAAATCACAGAACAAACTTTTCTCCTCCCCAAATTGTGTCACCAGCTCATTTTGTAAGCAAAGCAGTGATCACACATTTTGCTTTTAGCACTTGCATTAAAGAGTTTACAAAGACAGAGTAGGGTTTGAGAGACTATCCAGTCAATCATTCACATACATTTAATCAGCAGTAAGAAAAGGCAAGGCCCTTGTACAAGAGCAATATTTCTGCTGTCTTATGAGATATGTAACAGAATAAATGATTGCTGGTTGATGGAGCAGAACCAAACTAAACAAAGTAGTTCTGTCAATATCCGGAAGCACTTATTACCAAATAGAATTCCTACCACTATGCAATAAGATATAAAACTAAAACAACTGTTTAAAATTATACACTTCATGGAATAATAGTTCTGTTATAAATGTTTCTGCTTTTCATTTTACAATCGTATCTAAGTTGCTTTTGCCTTTTTTTATATCTTTATTAACTTGAGATTGCTTGAAGGATGCAAAGTTCTAAAGATCTTCTGAAGAATTGGCTATACCTTGTGATGCTAGATTCAGTTCTTCAAATTCCAGCATTCATTTCTGTTCATAGGAAACAATTTCAGAATTCCTGGTCCATTTCAGAATTACAGTACCTGCTTTGAGTAATTCTAATCCCACATCAGTAGTGGAACAATTCATTCTGCAGAAGAAAAAAAACCAATGTATATAGAATTTAGTTGCCAAAAGGCGTAGCTGCCATCAGTGAGTTCATTGTTAGTTTCTATGGAGACAGCAGCCAATTCTGAATGGCTGTTAGATCTTACAGAAAGATGCATGTCTCTGTATAAGTTCAGTACTGAGCAAGTAAGCTTTGTCATTCAGCTTCACCCTTTAGCTGCAAGTAGTGGGTGACCATGCAAGGATCACCCAGGAGGCGCTTAGCAGTGAATATTTTTAGCAAGTTTTTTCAGGGCCGGAGACATTCTTCTTCTGATCCTTTTCTCCGAGTGCTTCAGAGGCGACGGAGCTCAGTTGTAGAGGTCCTCTCGACTTCTACCCACAGGGTTATGGTGGCCATTTCCTCTGTAAGCCCTGAAGAACTAAATGCTGCTTTCCATGAGAGAAAAAGTAAAGTATTGGCATTTTTATCATTTTACCTTCATTCTGATCTTCTTGTATAACTAAGCAGGTTAAGTTGATCCCATCACTTAATTAACAAAATAGCAAGTACTGTGTCACTTTTATGCTTATGGCTTTTATGGGTTTGTTTATAATACGAACAAAGATGACAGCTGTTGTTAAATGTTTCTAGATAATGACATGATCCTGTATTAAGGAAATGCTACATATGCAGACATCAAGAAAGAAAAGTCTTATTTCTTTGCAAATGTTTTTTTTTGGATTTTGTTTATATCTTTTTCTTTTTATCTTTGTTTTTTCAGAATTGATCTTTGTTGGAAAGTTTTATTTTCTCTTGCCATTCTGTTATAGGAAGATCTAGACGTCCAACTGCAAAATATACAAAAGTTGGAGAACGCCTTCGTCATGTTATTCCCGGTCATATGCAGTGTTCCATGGCATGTGGTGGCCGTGCTTGCAAATATGAAAATCCAGCTCGGTGGAGTGAACAAGAACAGGCTGTTAAAGGATTATATTCCTCCTGGTAATATACAGCATTCATTTATGATACATTTACAAAAACGTTACTTTTAAATGCCTTATGAAGCAGTTCGTAACTCTGTTAAACTAATTTCCGAATAAATATGCTTAGTATTAGATTATACATTCAGTGAAAGAAAGCAGTTTGATACAGATTTAAGTGTTTCAGAAATGCTGGACAGCTTATATATAACGTCTGTGTATCCGTGAGCTTATTGCTTGAAATATTTATATGCTAAAACTGTTGGTTGGATTCAAACAAAAGTCAGTTGTTTTCATCTAAGCATTAATCATACTGACTGCATTCTACTGGTGACAACAGAAACTAAATTCAACTTAATATGTTTATAGCTGAAACGTGGATTTTATTATGAATATCTTTATTACAGACTTAAATGTAACTCAGATTCAAATGTATTGGTCATGTAATTGAACTGAAATGTTAAATTAAAAAACCCAACTGAATATAATGAAAATATTGTCAAGATGTGTGGGATCATTTTATAAACATTTTAAAAAGATCACTGAAGAAAAAAATGTTTTATACATAGATAAAAAACTAAAGTGGTGTTAGCTCCATTTTTATTATCACCATATCTTGACATCTTATTAGCATTCTGTTATGTAAGTATTTTATTAAACACAGATGAAAAGCATTTCACGGTTTGAAAGCACAGCGTATAAAATGTTATGATTAATTTGCTAAAACAACTAAACATGAGAGATGCCTGAGACACACTTTTATTTCTATTTTTTTATGTCTTCTTCCCTCATCTCTTTAGGATAACAGATAACATACTGGCTATGTCTCGACCCTCCACAGATCTGATTGGGAAATATAATATTATTGAACAGTTCCAAAGGTAAAAGAAATTGGTAACAAATTACTAAAGTTCTTATGAGACTGCATTGGCTCAGATCATTTGTACTGTAGCAATTTATTCTGAAGTAAGAAAGAACATGGGATGCGGGTGGAAAAGACTCTGAAAGGATGCATCGTTCAGTAATGCATCATCTTTTTCTTTGCCTAAGATGTGACATAAAAACAGTAATTAACCTTCAGCGTCCCGGGGAACATGCTAGCTGTGGGAATCCACTGGAACAAGAGAGTGGTTTCACCTATCTTCCTGAAGCCTTCATGGAGGCGGGAAGTAAGTTTGCTCCTGCTGCTGCTGTTCCTGGTTAATTATAAAGTGTGTGCTTGCTTGCAGGCTGTTTCTGCCACCTACTTCTAAGGTTAAAAGCAGCGAGTTGAGGAATGTATATCGACAAAAAAATAACATACAACTAATGAGAATGTAGAAAAACAGAGGGCGGGTATCATAAATGACTAAGGCATCCATGGAACTGACAGCTAAATTACGAAAGTTGCACCTGACAATATCTTTAACAGTATTAGCAATTATTCACAAAATATTAAACACCTTCACAGGACAATAGGCATATATTCACTGGCAGTAATTGTGTGTGTGTGTGTGTGTGTGTGTGTGTGTGTGTGTGTTACAGATACATACACATCTACTTAATTAGCTTCTCTTTCACAAGAAGAGCTTTCCACACTGTCCAAATAAATAGCTGTGTTTGACTATTTCAAAAAGGATGTAATTAATTTAAGAATACTGAGTGTGTATTTCTACATACTACCTGGGTGCATGTACACACATACACAGAGAGAAATTAATGCATTCCCCCTTCATTGTAGGTTTTATAAGCCAGTTTCTAAAGGAAACATCCTGCTGAATTTGGACAGTAAGATTGGAAAATTAAAATAATAAAACAATTTCCACAACGTGGGAAGAGCTTTCATTCTCTTCTACTGCATATCTTAAGAATGTCATTAGGATACATTGTGGGTGCACTCTTTGGTCTTCTATTTATAATATTATAAATATTTTTTCTAGTTTATTTTTATAACTTTGGATGGAAGGACTATGGTGTAGCTTCTCTCACTACTATCCTCGATATGGTCAAAGTGATGACCTTTGCCTTACAGGAAGGACGAGTAGCTATTCATTGTCATGCGGGACTTGGCAGAACAGGTACAAATACTCAACTACTAGTTTAATTAAAATGTATTTTTCTATAATTCAGTATTGAACTTTATGCATTGTACATTATGCATTGCAAAGTCTGCATAAAATACAGATAGCCCTTGACTTACAACTATTTGTTTAGTAACAGTTCAAAGTTATGACAGCACTGAAAAAAGTGGCTTATGACCATTTTTCACTCACACATGGTCACGTGATCAAAATTTGGATGCTTGGCGACTGGCATGTGCTTATGACCGTTGCAGTGTCCCGGGGTCATGTGGCCATCTTTGGTGACCTGACAAACAAATGGGGAAACAGATTCACTTAACAACCATGTTATAACTTAACAATTGCAGTGATTCATTTAACAACTATGACAAGAAAGTTTGTAAAATGGGCAAAATTCACTTAACTGTCTTGTTTAGCCATGTAAATTTTGGGTTCAATTGTAGTCATAGATCAAGGATTACCTGTATTTGCTTGCTGGCATTTTATGGAATTTTTCTTGGAACGTGGCCCATGCCTCTAAACTGCTTTTTGAGTTCAAAGAAGAAATTGAGAATTAATCATGAGAGCATCTATAAAGATTTAAGAGAAATCCTAGTTTTCAACTGTATTTCAGTTGTCATTATTTCAAAAGAAAATAGAACTTTGGAGTAGAGAGTTAGTTATTTCAAAAATATTATTTGAAGGAATAGGAATTCTTTAATGCCCTTAAATAGAAATGCAAATTATGAATGCCTTCTCTCTCTGTCTGGATACCTACCATTTGGAAATAGTTGTTTGGTTATTTATTTTTAAGAATTTTCTCATCTCCACTTCTAAAGCAGAGAAAATATTTGTAGGAAAGTTTAATATAGCCTTCTTTGACCTTATTTCCTCAGCAAATACAACTCTATGCTTCAAAATGCTTTTCCCATCAGTGATCTCTGATTTTGCGTGCCATTTATTCATAAAATCAGCTGGCTTAATGTATAACTTTCAGTATGTAATGTTTGTTTATATAATGTTCATGTTTATTTTTTAAAATATTTACAGTATAAACGTACACGCACACACACACATATGTAGAGAGAGAGTATGTAATCTAAGTCTTAACACTTGGTGGGAATTTATACGACAGATAATAGACTGCTGTGATGTAAAGAGCATGCATGTGTTGTTTTCTGAGTTTATCATTATAGACTTTACCTGAACTTGGAGATTGATCTATTTTTATGTTTCGCTTTCCAGGTGTCTTAATAGCTTCTTACTTGGTTTTTGCAACACGAATGACTGCAGACCAAGCAATTCTTTTTGTAAGAGCAAAAAGACCTAATTCTATTCAGACTAGAGGACAGTTGTTGTGCGTAAGGGAGTTTTCACAGTTCTTAATTCCGCTCAGAAATGTTTTTGCAACCTGTGAGCCCAAAGCACACGCAGTAACTCTTTCCCAGTACTTGATCAGGCAGCGGCACTTGCTGCATGGATACGAAAGCAGACATCTCAAGCATGTGCCAAAACTTATTCATCTTGTTTGCAAATTGCTCTTAGATTTGGTTGAAAACCGGCAGGTGATAGAGGAAGAATTAATAGATATGCCAGACCTGTCAGCTGAAATTGAGGAGACAGTTTCTCAGTTAGCTTCTACGGAGCTTGATAAGGAGTTAACAAGACAAGACAGTAGTACTTCAGAGCCATTCTCTCTCTCAGGATTAAATCCTCTTCATCCCAGGGAACATGAATTTGGTCCTCTTTGCAAAACAAGGGCCTCCGATTACTTTTTGTCTCTTAGCCGTTCCAAAAGGCGCCTTAGCTATAGTGAATCAGATTTAAGAAAAGCTGCATTTATCGCTGAGCAAGGAGAAACACTATGGTCCATGCCTGTACAAGTGCCACCCTGTAACAAATCAAACCCGCCAAGCAAGGTGGACCACTGTGAGCCTCTTCACGTTGAGCTAAACCAAGAAGTCTTAATTCGTAATACATTTACTTTCTCAACTCAGGGAAAATTTAATCCAGGTAAAAATGAAGACGATTCTTCTTCCTGCCATAGAGCTAGACATACAAAAAGAATACTGCGTAGTAAAACCTTTTCTTCAGGCCTTGCATATCATGGGAAAGAAAAAAAGGAGGATGAGGAGGAAGAAGAAGAAGATGAGGAGCTAAAAGCATTGAACTATAGTTTTGTGAAAAGGGATATTTATGGTAGAAAAATATCATTTGAAGATTCAGACTCTTCTAAAGCAGAAAATGAGATCTATGATATCAGAGATCTTTCGGAAACAATCCCCCATATCATTGTGCAATCAGAATTAACTCAAGAAGCACGAAGAATTTTGGCAGCCAAAGCTCTAGCAGGTCTAAATGAATTTATGGAAGCAGAAGAAATGAAGTCTAAAGTAGAAATGTGGCAGGTATTTCATTTTGTAATATTTTTATCTGTCAGAGATGTGTACATTAGATAAACATGGAAAGAATGTCCCTGGTTAGGAGCAGTTGAGGTCTTCTATTTCCTATACTTCAGTGATGAGAAGTAAACAACCACCCATGTTGTTTTCCTTTTGAATAGGAACTAGGGAGTGCAGCCTAAAATTAAAACAGATATGAAGGAACCAAATATTCTGTACTCTCCCCCCCCCCAACTTTTTTTAATGAATACAGTGTAAATTAATTTTCTTTAAATGTTAGTGTGGGGACAGTGTATTTATATGGGAACAAATATTTTGAATTGCCCTTCTATATTTCCTGATTATCTTGCGCAAAAGCCTGGAGGATGGAGAGATTAGGATATAGACTTTATATTAGAGCATGCACAGTTTTGCGGGGAATGTTCTTTGGTAGAACTTGTGGCTTGAAATGCCCTTGGCTCTTTCAAAGTCAGGGAGGGACACTGTGCATCTTGAAGGACTCCCACCGATATTTTTGCTGTCTAAAGAAAACAAAAGGAAACTGCCTTTGGCTTGGAGTAATTTACTTTCCTGGGGAAGCATTTGCTACATGATACTAAGACGTTTGCTCTACATTAAGAAAGGGTTAAGCATTCTGTGCCCATTGATTCTCTAACAGAAAACAGAAACTGTCTCTTTCTATAGTCTCATTTTCTTGGCACACAGACTGGGAATACATAAGCCACACTTCAGGTGTTGGCTTATGATCTTAATCACCCGAAGGAAAGTAAGGCTCCTGCCACTGTCAGTAAACTAGAGATTGTCTGAAGAGAGAAGTCTGTGATGTGTAGGGTTTCTAAAGATTAGAACAAACGTGGAGAACAATTAGGCATACAACAGGTTGTTGTCTTCGGAATGCCCTTTTTCAGGGATATAAATGTCTGAATAGTGACAGAGACTGAGCAGGCGAAGGACTAGTCAACATTACCCTACAATCTTCTTTGACATAGTTATGATGTTATAGAACAGGGGTGTCAAACTCGCAACGTCACATAGTGTGCCGCGACGTATTGCGACTTTTTTTCCATTGCCGGCAATGGGGTGGGCGCGGTTTCGGCATGATGCATCCAGCCTGCGTCCCGGCAATTTGACACCCCTGTTATAGAAGAAAGGATTTCCTGTGGTGGTTTTTGCCAAGAAATAAGACAGTCCTGTCTTAAAATCATGAATGTAAATGCAATTAATAGAAAATATATTTAAATAGCTTTTTTTTCCTTTCGTTAGAAAGAGCTGAATACTCAGAATGGGGCCTGGGATAAAATATGTACTGAGAGGGATCCTTTTATTCTCAGTAATTTGATGTGGTCCTGGATAGAGCAACTTAAAGAACCTCTTCTAACCAAAGCTGATGTTGATGTGTTAGCAAAAAATAACACAGATTTTCAAGAAGCATTCAAACTACTAGAAAAGGTAACTAATATATGTATCTGTTCACATTTTTTGGTCAGCAACAGTTTCAGATACTTGCTGCTCTTGTGAGAACAATGAAAGCAGCTGTGCCATCCTGACTTATGCTATTAATCTGGAAGGTCTTCTTTTGCGCATGTGAGGAGCGTTGTGCCTTTAAAACAGCGGCAGGTTTGCATCGTGATGTTATGATGCTGCTTTTGTCAGTCCAACTCCCTTTGCCTCCCCAGAGGAAGTGCCTTTGGTATTTTCCCTGCTTCTCTACTGTAAGTGAAAAATGAGTGATTTATTCATAATGTTTGTGTCTGTTTATCAGCCTGACATTCAGGGGCAGAAATGAGTTGCATTGACTAAAAGTACAATATATACTTGCTTTAGCTAACATTTAAAATCAATTGACATATAGCGGCAATTGAATGTCCTGTTGCAGAATGAATGGGAAGCAATTTATTCTGCTGATTAAAATTTTAATATATCTACAGTGAGGTCTTCTGTTTTAGATAACTGGTATTTGCTTCTATCTTTCTCATTATATTAGTGACACCCCTGGTTATCATTCTTTATCATATATTTCTTCAAATATAGTTTTGACATCTCTTTCAAGGCATTTTTATGCAGAAAAATGAAAATAGACTTGTTCTTAATTTTATATGAATGATGAATGAGCATTTATATTTATTTCTTTGACTTAATGTTTTCTCTGACCTTTATTTCTTGATAGAATTCCTTCTTCTCTTTTAGTAATATATAATGATAGATTGAGAGCTAGTTGGTCTAGTGGTTATGGCCTTGGAGTAGGAATGGGGAAATCTAAATTAAATCCTGGTTTATGCACAGAAGCCAGCAATATGACTTTAGGCCTGTCCTCCTCTGTCAACTCCAAGAAGAAGACATGGCATTTACCACTTACAAAATGTTGCCTAGAAAACTTCAGACTTTCCATCTGATTGCCAGGAGTCAAGTCTGATTTGAAGGCAAAAGCAGAGGGTGGAGGAGGGCATGGAAGCCATCTAGACAATCTTGGGCCAATCGCAATCTCTTTC